GGGGCTCCTGGCTCTCAGGGGTGGCGGTAGCCTTCCCTTCCAGGGCAGTGCCTTCCTCTCTGCAGGCACCAATTTCCACTGGGGAGTTTCTAAAAATATGGATGCCTGGGCTCATCCTCAGGGATTCCCATTTGATTGGTTTGGGAAGCAGCTTGGGCATCAGGATTTTTTTAAATTAATATTATTTATTTATTTATTTCGCTGCATCAGGACTTAGTTGTGGCACATGGGATCTTCTGTTGTGGCGTGTGGGCTTCTCTCCAGTTGTGGCACGCAGGCTCAGTAGTTGCAGCACGTGGGCCCTAGAGTGTGCAGGCTTAGCTGCTCCGCAGCATGTGGGATCTTAGTTCCCCGACCAGGGATCGAACCCGTGTCCCCTGAATTGGAAGGAGGATTCCTAACCACCGGACCACCAGGGAAGTCCTGGGCATCAGGATTTTTATTTTTAATTCCCCTGGTGACTGTAACACGCAGCTAAGCTTGAGAACCACTGTGCCACAGCAAAGCAACTTCCAGCTGATGGTAAATCGTTCCCTCTTAATCATTCCTTTCCACAAGGCCTTCATTTTCCCTTGTTTGGATTGACACAATGACCTCTTAATTGGTCTCCTAAAGGCAGTTTGGAAATTCAGTGCTAGAGTCTAAGAGCTGGGGAGTTGGGGATCTGGAGATTTGTCGGGGGCGGGGCGGGGGGGATCTTCACTGACGTGACAGGAGCAAGAAGGAATTCATTTCACCAAAGGAAAGTGACACGTCAAGGGAGGACAGAGGAAGAGGCACCAGAGCAGACAGTGAGGCAGTGGCCAGAGACAGGAGAGACTCGGGACAGCCGGGTGTCTGAGAGACAAGGGAAGGGCTGTTTTTTTGGAGGGAGTGGGCGGTCAACCATCTCAAATGCTGCAGAATTCAAGGGTGATAAACTGACACATGGCCACTGAATCTGGTGACTGTGAGGTCATCTTTGACCTTGTTATACAAATTTCAACCAAGTGGATGGGATGGAAACCTGAGCTCTGAAGAATAAGTGGCAGCAAGTAAGCTGGGACAATGAATAGAGACTAATTTTTTAATGAATATGTCATGGAAATGAATGTACACGAGGATGTAGCTTGAAAAAGTAGCAAAGCCAGGAAAAGTTTTTTTTGGAATAGAGGAGGCTCAAGTAAGCAGTGGCTAGAGGAGAGGTCTTCAGAGAAAGACAGTCTGAAGATTCAAGGGGGAAGCTGGGGCAGGATGACTGATGGAAGAGGAATAATTCAAGGGCACAGGATGAGGAAAATACAAAGTATCACAACAGTGTGTATGGGGGTGGTGGTGGCAGTGTGCTAAATCTCATAGGGAATGACTTCACTCTTGTTAGTTAACTTAAGTAGGAGGAATGGTGGTCTACTGAGAGTAAAAGATGGGACTTGAAGAAAGCAAAGAGGCTGAGTGGAGGTGCTCTGGCAAACATGATAGGGAATTAGCTGAAGAGAAATAAAAAGAATTATATAGTAGGGCTATGGTAATTAAAACAGTGTGGTACTGGCACATGAATAGATAATCATTGAAAGAGAATACACAAAGTCCATAAACAGATACAAATGCATGTGAGATTTTAATGTTATAAAAATGGCACTCCAAATCAAAAAGAAAAGATGGAATCTTCAATAAATAGTATTGGGACAAGTGAATAACCATCTGGATCCCTACCTTACATCTTATACCAAGACAAGGTCCAAATAAATCAAAGGTTTTAAAGTTAAAACAAAAACACATGAATTATAAAAAGTGTTGAAAAGCTAAGTGGGAGAAGAGCTAAGGTGGATACTAAGCCCATAAAGCTTAATGGGTAAAAAAATTAATAAATTTGATTTCATAAAAATACAAACTTACTACAAGGTGAAAAAACCATCATAAGAGGAAAACAAACCCAGATAACAGACTGGGAAAAGTATTTGCAACTCGTCAAAGGGCTAATTGCCCTAAAATAGTTCCTACAAACTATTAAGTAAAAGACCAGCAATCCAATAGAAAAACAGGCCCAGGATACAAAAAATATACACAGAAAAGGTATATACACTTAGTTCTTAAACATATGAAAAAACGCTCAACATCATTCATAAAAGAGAAATGCAAATTAAAACAACACTGAAATATACTTTTTACGATCAGATTAAAACAGATGCTAACACTCATGGGGCTTCCCTGGTGGCACAGTGGTTAAGAATCTGCCTGCCGGGAAACTGGCTCGGTTCTTTGTGGCTGTCTGGAGGGGTGGGATAGGGAGGGTGGGAGGGAGGGAGACAAAGAAGGAAGAGATATGGGAACATATGTATATGTATAACTGATTCACTCTGTTATAAAGCAGAAACTAACACACCATTGTAAAGCAATTATACCCCAATAAAGATGTTAAAAAAATAAAAAATAAAAAAAATAAAAAAAAAAAGAATCTGCCTGCCAATGCAAGGGACACGGGTTCGAGCCCCGGCCCGGGAAGATCCCACATGCCGCGGAGCAACTAAGTCCGTGTGCCACAACTACTGAGCCTGAGCTCTAGAGCCCGTAAGCCACAACTACTGAAGCCTGCGTGCCACAACTACTGAAGTCTGTGCGCCTAGAGCCCATGCTCCGCAACAAGAGAAGCCATGACAACGAGAAGCCCGTGCACCACAAGGAATAGTAGCCCCCACTCACCACAACTAGAGAAAGCCCACACGCAGCAACAAAGACCCAACACAGCCAAAAATAAATAAATAAATAATTTATTTTTTAAAAAACCCCAAAACAGATGCTAACACCCTGTGGCTAAAGCACGTGGGGAAACATCATCTCACATGTCCCTGTGGAAAGGCAAATTAGCACAACCTCTAAAGAGGGTAATTTGGCTACATCTATCTAAGTTACAGGACACATTCCCTTTGATCCAGAGATACCACTTCTAGGTTGTATCTTACAGCTATCCTTCCACTGAAGTACATAAAGTATTAGCACAAGATTGCTCATTACAGTATTACTTGACCAGTATATGTGGGGAACAAGCTAGATGTCCATTAACAGCGGACAGCCATAAACAAGAATGATGATGTTTATGGACTGATTTGGGAATATCTCTAAGATATATTAATAAGGGAAGAAAGCAATTTGCAGAATGAAGTGAAGAGCTATACTTTGCGCAAAGAAGATACAATGAAGCTGGATTTGACTGTGTATGTGTAAGATGGCGCTGGAAGGCTACTTAAGAACTGGGAACGCTGGTTGCCTCTGGGGAGGAAACTGAGTGTCTGGGTCACTGATGGGACAGAGATTTTTCACTGAACCTGTTATTTTTATTTTATTAAAAAAAACTTTTTATTGAGGTATAGTTGATTTACAATGTTGTATTAGTACTGTACCTTTTAAATTCTGAACTGTAGGCATGTTACCTGTTCTAAAAATAATTTAAATTGGAATAAAATAAAAAAGCAAAACTTACAAACAATAACGTGGAAGATGAGAGGCAATGATCAGCGTTAAATTGCTCGAGTCCTTTTATTTTTCAGGAGACAACTGGAGATGTTGATGAACTTTACAGTTCAGTCAAATGTACACGGAAAAATTTCAAAGGTAACCACTAAGACACTGTAAATAGAGTGTATAATTTCCAAATTATTGCAGCAGAATGGGAAAACTTGGGAGAAGTCATGTAAAATTCTAGTTTTCAGACTGAGAAATTCTCACAGACGGAGACATTACAACCAAATGCAACATAGGGTGGTGGACTGGATCCTGGAACAGAAAGAGGACGGTGGTGGAAAAACTGGGAAGTTCCAAGTAAAACCTGCTTAGTTTAGTTAATAGCATTGTACCAGCATTCATTTCTTAGTTTTGGTAAGTTTGGTAATCTTTACAATATTTCTGTAACCCTAGACTTTTTCAAAATAGAGTTTTTAAAAAAAGCTTTAAAATATCTGGCTTTCTGGCTTCTTTTTTTTGCGGGGGTGGGGGGACCGCACTGCACAGCTTGTGCGATCTTAGTTCCCCGACCAGGGACTGAACCCACACCCTCCGCAGTGAAAGTGTGGAGTCCTAACCACTGGACCGCCAAGGGACTTCCCTGGCTTCTCTTGAAAATCGGGCAAACCTGGCCTGCATGCCCCTGCCCCCCTACCCACCCAGGGGCTAGGCAGTGGCGGCCCCTTTACCTGGAATCGCGCTCTCCACTGGCAGTGTCTTCCCTGCTTCCAGCTGTCACTCCTAGGCTGCTTTACTCATTCACGATGCATGAACTGCCCCCACTTGCAGGGATGTGAGTCTGGTTAGCATAAATCAGTTCCTGAAGTATCAATCCCTGATCATCCCTGAGCATTAAACCTGGGAATCACCAGACTCAGAGCAAGGGAAATGCTCAGAGGTGCAGTTCCCGCCACATGGTTCTGACGAGGAACGAGGAGCCGCCACCTGGGGCAGTCACTTCCAGCTGCTACCCGATTCCAATCCCCCCTCTTTCTCACTGAGTCCCCATTTTCTCTGGATCAGCCACGTGCCTAGCTACACACTCAATTTCCCGAACTCTCTGGCAGCTACAGTGTTCATGTGATGATTCTGACCAACAATATGTAAACAGAAATCTAGGGATTTCCCTGGTGGTCCAGTGGTTAAGACTTCGCCTTCCAATGCAGGGAATGCAGGTCTGATCCCTGGTCGGGGAGCTAAGATGCCTTGAGGCCAAAAAAACCCCCCTAAAACATAAAACAGAAGCAGTATTGCAACAAATTCAATAAAGACTTAAAAAAAAGAAAAAAGAAATCTACTAGAAGGTCTTCTGGAAACAGAGGTCAAGAGGGTGGGGCAGAAAGGAGGAAGGAGCCGCGTCACCACAGCATCACGGAGCTGCTGAACTAACCCTAGAATGCCTGTCTCCAGACTACTTATTAGGTGGGAAAAACAATTTTTTAAAAAAATTTATTTATTTGGCTGTGCTGGGTCTTAGTTGTGGCATGCGGGATCTTTAGTTGCAGCACGGATGTGGGATCTAGTTCCCTGACCAGGGATCGAACCTGGGATCCCTGCATTGGGAGCGCAGAGTCTTAACCACTGGACCATCAGGGAAGTCCCTAGGTGGAAAAATTAAATGCCTATTTCACAAGGCGCTGTTTGCCAGATTTCAGTTTTGTGCAGTTGAACACAGTCCTAACTGAAATAGCAGCAGGATAAAAGAGGAGAGTGGGACTCGGCGGGAAGGGGTTGGTGACAGCACTGTAAAGGACCTCGGTGATCACCAAGAGCAGTGTGTGACCGTCGTGGCTCGAATAAAATGCTCTACAAAAACTGGCGATTAAAAAAAAAAATTGGCGATTATCTAAATAACAAGGACCACAGACACTGATTCTTAATGCTCCACAGAATTGAAAAGCCTGGAAGTGAAGGAGGCAGGGGCAGGTGAGTGGTGAGAGATCCTCAACCAGGCCTGTGGCTGAAGGGGCTACAGGAGGCTTCTGAGGAGCAGCATCAAGAGGATGAGCAGCACGGTGACAGAGCGGCCAAATGATGGGACACCCAGGAGCCAGAAGCACAGTGGTGGCACTGATCACAGGAGTAAGCAGATGAGGCTGATTAGAACAAACTGTTTGGGGATCCGTGTAGCCTGGGTGTCAGTGGACACGGGGAAATCACAGGCTGTGGTGATGAGAGCCAGGGAGAGAGGGGTGTGAGGAATGCAGGCACACCAGGCAGGTGGAAACAGAGGAGGAAAAACAACACTTCCCTGTACAGATACTCGACAAAGTATTTTCTCACACATTCCCTCATATCCTCTGACGCTCTGAGTGACCCTGGGAGATGGGACAGAGGTCACTGTTGGGACTGAATCTTGGAGGGAGGGGCAGGAGCTGACTGAGTTCCCACTGCATGACAGGCTCGGCCCAATCCTCACAAGTCCCCACAAGGCCAGCCCCGTGGTCTCCCCTAGGCAGATGAGGAAAGTGACAAAAAGCCCAGGCCTGCCTGGCCTGACAGGCGTCTCTCAGATAACACGCTAGAGGATGCAGCAGAGCACCACGGGGTGCAAACACCACGGGGCCCAAGCCCAGCCCGGCCTCTGAGGAGCTGTGTACACGGGGCCACCTTACACACCTGACGCTCCTGAGCCTCAGCTTCCCTTCCACATATCAGCTGGTAGAACGTTCTTTCACCACGACCAGAGGAACTCTTCTCAGTTTCTGGGGTGCAAGCGGTGGCCTCTTGAAATCAGATGTGATTCTGGGCTCTGGCTAGAGCTCTGGATTTGGGGCCAGGGTCTCTGGATTCCAGGTGGATGTTCCTTCCCAGCCCGGAGCTGTCCCTTCTGTTTGTGACCTCTTAAGGACAGCAGCTGCAGGGGTAGGGAAGCTGCAGTCTGGTTGCTCTAAAACCCACACACATCCCTTGGGCTGTTGCTTATTTGGATGCAACCCCATGCTGGGGCCCATCCCTGCAATTTGCCGGAAGCCATCCATTTTCACACAGCCCTGGGTGCTCCATCTATAGCTGAGGTCTGCCCATCTCCCCAGCGCCTGCCCCCACCGCTGGTCTCAGCTTGCCCAGCCAGGAGCCGCTTTATTCCCTAGGCCCTCCCCCACCTCACCGGGGTGGCCCACAGGCTGGGTTTTCACAGGTAGCTGCCACCACAGCCTCCACTCTCCCTGCAGTGCACCCTGTTCCCTTCTTCCTTCCTTCAGTCCTGGCACTAAAAATAGCACCTGGCACTAGGTTTAACCTTTATGTGGCTGAGAAACCTTGGTTTTTGTTATTGCCATCCCCCAGCACTGTGCCAGTGCCAGAAACCCTCTGACTGTGTCACAGCTTTGCCCCACTTAAGAGGCTGGTGCTGTCCTCAGGACAAGGGTCCTGTAGCCAGAACGAGAGGGGTGCTGCTCTGTGGCCCTTGCACAGAAAATGGAGTTGCTACCAAAAGAAATTCTTACAAAAACAAATACCTGGGCTACTCTGATTCTGGCATTCACACACATGTGTTGTGTGTATACACGCTCACAAAAGCCTGCCAAGCAAGCATCCCACCCTCTTGCCCCTTCTAGGAGCTAAAGTTGGGAAAGGGGCACGACTCTATCCATTTCCCACTGGGCAGGTAGATTGCACAGGCAGAGGTAGTTAGGAGCTTAACCCAAATGACCCAGAGCTCCAGAGAGGCCTGGTCTGGGGCTCGAGCTACCAAGCCACCTGGGGCCCTAATCCTTCCACCAAGTCCAGTCATCCTTGGGAAACGGAGCTTCCCTGACACCCAGCAGCAGGCTGTATGCTCTGAGTGGGGTTACTCTGTGTCAGGCCCCATTCAGCTGTGATGCATCCTGTCAGGCCTCTCCCTGCACCAGAGCCTAAGGTGGGCCACAGCTCCAAGCCTCGGGTCCACCACCTCCATCACAATGGTACCAGTTTCCAATTCTCCAAGGGTTTATAATACACCAAGCTGTGTGTATACTGACACATCTAATCCTCACAATAGCCCTAAGAGTCGGGTGCTATTATTATCTCCATTTAACTGATGAGGAAACTGTGGCACAGAGAGGGAAAGTAATTGAGTCAAGGTCACACAGTAACTGGAGGAGCAGGATTTGAGTCCAGGCAGGCTGGCTCAAGTCTTAATCACTATGCTGTGTCTTGCATGTGGTGCTGGGCAAGACTGGACCAGAAGCTGGTAAGTCCTTGCCCTGTTGGATCTGGAAGCTGCTCTTAGCCTCAGTCTGGAGCCATCATCCCTGGATCCTTTGTCTAGATGCCAAGAACTGCTTCTGTCAAGAACACCCTGGTTAAAGCCCTTCTGAATACTCCCTGCCAGAAAATGACTGCTGTGTGCTAAAGACAGCCATAAGCTCTGGTCCCCGGCTCCCTCCCCAGCTCATCCCACTCGCCTCATGTGCAGCATCACTCTCTGAACACAGAGGTTCGCACCAGCCTCAGCCTGGAATGCCATCCCCGCCACTAGCTAAGGCCTACTTTCCTTCCAGACCTGCCTGCACCTCCTCCTTTAGGAAGCTCCCCTTGACTAGTCCTATTCTGTTCCTTCCTACTGCAACCCTAACTCAGGCTCTCCAGAACTGCTGTTACCACATCAAACTGCAATGTCTGTTAGCTGGTCTGTTCTCACGATGTTACCAGTTTCCCACACAATGCCCTCTACCTATCTTGCAGAGGTAGGTCCCCGGCACCTTGCACGGTGCCAGGCATTTAATGGGTGCTCAGTGTACACTCTTTGAATGAATAAACAGACTAAAAACATTAACCTCAGCCACACTGTGTCCAGTTGTAACAGTTGCCACTATATGAGTTTTCACCTATTACTGTATTACTGCCCTTGAGATGCAGCGAGTACCCCGCAGAAGTTCATTCCACAGGCTTCTGTGTCAGGCCTGGGTTCAAACCCCGGCTCTGCCCCTCCCTCTCTGTGACTTGGGGGAGACACTAACCCTTCAGTTTCTCAGCCCTAAAGCTGGCCTACTACCACCTAACCTGAGCGGCTGTCATGTGGATGAGATAACCACACTGCAAATGCTTAACAGTGCTGGGCGTAAACACCTAACAAATGGGGCTGTGGCTACTGCTACTGTCATCACTCCTGGCTTGCCTTAGGGGATGATATGGAGCAAGTGATATTCCAGGTCTATTCCAGGGACCTAAACCCAGAATTTCCCAATTCCCTGCCTTACAATCAACGGTGAGAAGGGAGAGCTGACAGGGCACCCTGCTCTGGGTTTGCGCTTCTTTCAGAGAGATGGGCCCGGACCCTTCTCCACCTCTGCCCCTTCCCCCCCGCCCCTTGGGACAACCTAGTAGCTGCATTTCCTGCTTCCCTCAATGCAGGGGGGTGAGGAGCAGCAGCCTCTGGTTACAGGGCAAAAGAGTGCTCAGGATCTGGGAGGCCATGGGAGTGGGGCCTGGCCAATGCACTCCCAAGCCTCCCTATCAGTCATTAACCCAGTACTGACCCAGTGCCCTGGGTTTCCAGACCAGCAGCTCCACGGTGCTCTCTGCTCCCATTTGTCAATCTCGGTCACCCTACTCCCCTCAGGGCACGTGAGAGGCCTGTGTGGCCTTGGAATGGATTCACCCCAGCAGGTCCCCTGAGGCCAACACCCCAGGAGTAGCCTGGGAGCTGGTTTTTTTTGCGGTACGCGGGCCTCTCACTGTTGTGGCCTCTGCGTTGCGGAGCACAGGCTCCGGATGTGCAGGGTCAGCGGCCATGGCTCACGAGCCCAGCCGCTCTGTGGCATGTGGGATCTTCCCAGATCGGGGCACGAACCCGCGGCCCCTGCATTGGCAGGCGGACCCTCAACCACTGCGCCACCAGGGAAGCCCTGGGAGTTGGTTTTGTGCAGAGAGTATGGGAACCAGAGGAAAGTCTGCCAGGCCCTCCCCCCACACCCCATTCTAGAATTCTTCCAGTTCCACCAAGAGCCAGCCTGTCAGCCCTGTGGAGTGGAGCTAAGCTACAATAAAAGGAGAAGCCGGCCTCCTTTTATTGTACCTCCTCAGGGAGCTACTGAGAACGTGCCCAGAGAAGAGATCACAGTGGGCAGGAGGGCTCCTCAGCTGGGACCAGCGAGGGGCCTGACGGGCGGCCGGCTTCTGGCCACTGATCCCCACGCAGGTCAATGCGCCGAGCTGCCACGGACTGTCAGCAGCGGAGGACTGAGGAGATACTAAAAGTCTTGTCTTCACAGACAACAGAACCACAGAGATGTCAAAACATGCACATAATGCACAGGAACAAAACCAGAAAGACGTGACCCAAATTGTTAATGGTGCTTCCCTCTGAGGGGTGATTCTTATTTTCTTGACTATATTTTTCCGTGTTCTTCAAATTCTTTACAATGAGCATGGGACGCTTTCATGATGGGGGGAAGAGAGGGAGATACGTTTAAAAGTGTTTTGAAGAGGGGCTTCCCTGGTGGCGCAGTGCTTGAGAGTCCGCCTGCCGATGCAGGAGACGCGGGTTCGTGCCCCGTTTCGGGAGGATCCCACATGCCGCGGAGCAGCTGGGCCCGTGAGCCATGGCCGCTGAGCCTGCGCGTCCGGAGCCTGTGCTCCGCAAATGGGGGAGGCCGCAACAGTGAGAG